TAATAAAATATATATATGATAAAAAATTAACAATGAAATATTATTTCATTGAAATAATAGAAAGTTTAATAATAAGATATCGAATAATAAAATGTTTAACCAATAAAACTCCAAGAATAAAATTAATGAGTAATAGAATGTTTGGATAATAGAATATTTAAATATTAATGAAGCATTTGAATGATATTATAGAAACATCAGATAATTTATATCATGACATACATGTTAAAATTCTTCAAATTATAAAATGGATGAACTATAGAATATTGAAATACTAAAATTTTTCAATAGTAGATTTGAATACCGTATCACGAAACCAATCAAAAATCAATTCTACGTAAAAATCTCGAAATTCAGCTCGATCGAATTATTCATAGAAATCCTTCAACGTTTGAAACAAGAAACACACACTGAAAAACCGGCATTCAGCTTCGTTGGTCGAAAAGGCAGGCATGGGTCAAATTGGCCGAAACTCGCGATACGAGGACCAGATCCGATTAACCGGGCCTTTCACTTTTTTTTCACCCGAAGGTAAAACTGGCCTGAAAGCGTGAACGGAAGCGGTCGTGTATGTATATATCGGTTCCCTGCCACGTCAATCACCTTGCCAATTATAATCGTCGCGGTTTCGTCCATGCTGGAGTTCGTTCCATAAGAATTTCACTCGTCAACTTTCGCAAAAATTCCTCGATTGGGCGGCTGCTGACTTCGACCATTTTCCACGGCCGTTAAAAAGTTCGTCGTTCAAGCTTCATTCTGAATGCAGACTGGGTGACAAGGGACGAAATTGGATACTCGAAGGTGTGCGAACGTCGTCCTCGAAGAAGGTGGTAAACTGTTTTAAAGCGGATGTGCTTTGAAGGAACGAATTTTTATTTGATATGGATGTATATTTAATATTATGTATATTTTATTATCTTTGATTGAATATATACAGAAAAAAAATCATTTGGATACAATGATTAAATTTTTTATATTAAATAAAGTAGAACGAGAATAATGGAAAGAAATAATAAACCATTTTTCTCGTAAATATAGAAAATATGGATGAAATCGAGTTCAAACAATAATCATAAATTTATTGAATAAAACTATGAATAAAATTGTAATTATATATAATTTTAGCATAAAATTATCCATAATAGGATAATTTTCATTAATGTTGCTAATGATATCAGTTTATTTATGAAAATAATTTACAATTCTGATTTGAGACTGGAATACATAAGAGAATGTCCGAATAATTTTAGATATTCTTGCGTAATCTGTTTACGTATCATTTATGGTGAAAGAAGTAACATTCACTCACGAATGTGGTAATTTCTTCAATGATTGAATAACTCATGACAAGTTTTTCAATATTCCGAACTACTGTAATTATCTCATTTTTTACAATTATACTTTGTACTTTACATTTATTCAAATAAATTCTTATTCTAATATGTATATTTATACGTATAAACGACCTTTGGAAGAAGACAAATTAAAGAAGTAAAAAGGAAAATGGTTTAAAAAGCACATCTCTTGAAACAAGAAGTATAATTAGAATAAAGAAGTTGAAGTTTAATGTTGGAATATACATATATATAATGCAAATATGTGTAAAACGTTATTAATTATATTATTGTTATTTATTAATTTAATTACAAGTGACCAAATATTACATACGCTTATTAATATATTAATATAAGTTATTCGAAGTTTGAAAATATCGCTATATGAAAATGAAATCATATATATTGCTCTAATATTCTCGCTTAAATTTTATTCGGGATTTCCTACCTAAAATGAAAAAAAGAGATGTGTTAGTTAAGGTTTGTATAGAGCGTAATCCCGTACATTTTCACGATTTTTCGATTTTTATAAATTTTCAATGTTGTTACATTTAGCAAATAAACGTCATTTGCCAAGGTATTCATGATGTACTAAATTGTACTCGTTGTATTTTCAGTAATTGTGTTTTTTGATTTAGTTTTTCTTTTTGTTTTATTTCACTGTTCAAAATGAAAGATAAGATAGGATTAACATCATCTAAAAAATAATAATCAAGAACTTATATTGTTTTCATTGACGAATGATATGTTATGAACTTATCTTTGCATAATTTTAGAATTTTCTATATTTTTTAAATTCAATTAATTCAATTAATTAAACGAATTTTTAATGAATAGTCAATATATTATTATTTAATCACTAAATTATTATTTATACAATTTTTTTTCATTTCATGAAGAAAAATTTTAAATAAATCATTTACTTTATATTTTACTAATAAATCTTAATGATTATTTTGTTTAAAAATATTAAAGAATATTAAATTTTTTTTAACATTAATATTTTTTCTTATTTCAGATTATGGAATATATAATGTTGAAAACATTTCATAATTTTCGCCAAATATTTTATCGATACATGATATTAAATTGTGAACATCAAATAAATTTGAAGAGTTTCATAAAAGTAGATCGTATTTCATTTTTCACCATTTATATAATTGATATCATTCACATATGATATTTCATTTTCATGTTTTAGAAATACAATTAATCTGATAAGAATCGTAACGTGAACACAAATTTAATAGCAATAAAATATCAAAGTGTCGTTTCCATAGTGTTATTAGAACTTTTCATCGACCTACTCTATTGAAGTTAACATTATAAATTTATGATCGTAAGTAAATTTGTATATTTTATTCTTTAAAAAGAATTGCACGTAAAGAAACATAATTTTATATAAAATTTATAAATAATAATGGTATTATTATTATTATTATTATTAATAACCATAGAATGCAATAAAACAGACTTATCTTTTTAATTTATATATAGTAAATGATTAGATAGATTTGTGAAATTTCTAAATCTTTTAAAGAATTCTATTTCTTGTAAAAGTTACAAAAATACAATACACGCTAAACTATGATTTGTAATCTTTATTCACTTTCAAATTAAAAAACTTTTAGATTTATAATTAAAAAAAACTTTTTATGAAATTTATTTCGAACGTTTATAAAAATCTTCATAAATATTTAATCTAATAAGTTAACAATCACATATATATATTTTGTCGTTTATTTTACATTAAAAAGAATACCAGGTTTTTTTTAGAAATTATAAAGTTGCTATATCTTTTGGGATTGACGAGAGAAAACTAATTTAAAAATCTAACATTATAAATAATAAAGAATTATTATTAAATTTGGGTTATAAATGAACATATTCGCTCATCACGTATTTTCCTATCGTTTAGTAATATTTCCATATATTTTTATTCACCTCAATATCGTCATCTACTGGTTTTTTTAATACGATGATTCATCTGTATCAAGAAATATATGATCTGCTTTAGCATCTATGATTTGTTGTTGCGTAAATCAATTGATCCTAAATCAATTCTTAAATAGGAATTCCATTTTTTTAAATTATTAGATTTTCGTTTTATTTTTCAATTCGATATGAAATACTTTGCATATTTTTGATTTTTTTTTTTTGATTAATCGATATAAGATTAAAACGACGCGTTATTCATCAGTTGATACAGAAAGTATCTGAATCTTTCTGTATAGATAATGTTCACTATCCATTGCTGTGCTTTAAATTTAACAAGAATTTTAAATATTTTCTTTAATTTCAACAGGAGAATCATCAAATGTAATAAAAATATCTCTCTTCGGCTGCACAGAGAAAACTTTGGTACAACTTTGAATTATCCAGTGCGCAAAGAAAGCTGGCAATTCGCGGTCTCTCCAGTCTCGAGCAATAAATTGCTCGGTACTCTCCAATAAAGACGACTTTTATAAAATTTCCACGCGACAAAATTTATCTCGTGAATTTCCAGGAATTTTTCTTCGAATCTCGTGTTTTCTCGTTACAAAATTTAAACAAGTAAGCACGTTCTCAGAATTCTATACAGTTCAAAGCTTTGCGATTAAAGTAAATAAATAGTTAGAATAGTTTTTATTTCTTTTAATAAGTTTTATCATAAGATAGTATTTATTTATTAAATTACAAGCAATTAACAAAGTTTGCGTTAGATGAAGCGAGACACAGACAGCTCTATCTTCGTCTATCATCGTCTTTTTTGTCTCTATCTCATCCAATGTAAATTTAAATACTGCTTTTAACAAATTAGTGTTAAGCAACATTTTTGTATAACTTTTGTGTATTATTTAGGGCTCTAAAAGGTAAGAAAAAAACAGTTTAATTAACTTATGTGTTATCTCTAAGACAAAACGTATAGTTGTTCATTCCTAAATATCAACTCTTGTTATTTGAATTATTAATTAATAAAAAAATTAATAAAAAGTTGAACTAATTAATAAGGAGGATTATTATTTGAATATTATCATCAGAATTATTCAATTCTATCTTTTCTATATATATACTTATAAATTTTATTTTATTTAATTATTTAAATTTGTTGTTTCAAAATATTTTTTATATTTCATATTCTTATCTTACAGTTTTAATAATGTCAAAGTTAAAAACTGCTTAATTGAAGTATTATTATTTAAAACACTATTTGTTTCTTTCTTTTTTTCTTTTCTTTTTTTTTTTTTTTTGTACTTCAATAAGAAAGATATTTCATTTCAAGAAAATAAAAACAGTAAAAAATAATATTTATACAAATTCATATATATAAAAAATATATGTATAAAATACGATTATTTTATTATTTCAAACGAAATTACTCGCAAAATCCTACATCACTCGAAGAACTACAATTATTTATTCCCATTTACATATTTAAAAAATCTATTTTTCTCGATTCTACGAAAGAAACTTCGATTTCCAAGTACGGAATTATTCCATTATTAACAATTAAAAAAAAAAGAAGATAGAAATAAACAAAGAAGAAAGAAATGCGCAGACAATCGAGTTACGTATTGCACGTATCCCGTATTCACCTGATCGCAATGCAATTTCACGACAATGATATGCCGTTATCTGTTGCGATTTTTCCTGAGCTCCCATGATAAGAATAGTCCGTGCTCTTTTTTACCATCCAATCTGACGGGAAGAATATAAGGGACCGCGTGATCGCGCGCCGAATCATTCAAATCATGAAGAGCTTCGTCGTGATCGTACTTCTGCTCGCGGTCGGCCTTGGCGCCGGCCAAAATAACAAAGGTTGGTGGAAGAACGCGGTCTTCTATCAAATATATCCTCGCAGTTTCATGGATTCCAATGGTGACGGCATCGGGGATTTGAAAGGTAGGAAATTCGCGCGAAAACACTTGTGTCTTTTACTTTCCGCATGTCGTATGTTGGATACGTTGAATTGTTTTTAAACTAAGATTCATACGAATGGCGCAACAACTATATGACAACAATTCAGCAACGAGTTTATGTCGTAATTTCCATGATAAAATGCGCACGATTAGAAATGTAAATCTGTCGAAAATATCACAATAAAATTGTATCACTCGTATATACAATTTTTTAAGAAGTATGACAGAAAAATCGTAATTAAAATATGCAGTGATTTGGGAGATAGAAAGAAGAGATTGGAAATTAGAAAGATTGTTAAGAAAGATGGTTAAGAAAGATAAGTTGTTGTTAAAAATTAACGTGATTCAAGTATTTAAACATTATAGGTGGAATGAAGTTTCGTAATATAATATTACGCCATACATCTTTATCGAAGTATGATCATGATTGAGTTATCTTTGAAATTGTACATAATTGATTAAATCATGTTCCTTTAAAAAAGTATCGAGGAAAGAAAATGAGAGAGTTGAATAGATCTTAGTCATGAATTATGAATTTTTGGTACAGATATTAACGATGATAATAATATATTTATGTTAATAAAACTTGACTAATGGAAAATACGTATAATTATTTATATTTACATCATAATACATGGAAAAATTATTTAACATAGTGCTTTTAGTTGCTTTTAATATATAAATTTAAATGATTTATTTTTTGTTATAATAAGAATATTTATTTATATTAATAGAATTGAATTAAAAAATGATATATTTGTATATCTTGTTAATATTTATAAAAGATAAAAAGAAATATTCATTTGATAATTTCTTTTTTTTTTCTTCGTTTAGGTATTTTATGATTTTACCATTTTCACATATATTTATATGATATTTTAAAATAATTATTTTAAACAATTTAAGTAATGTTTCGAAAATATTGAAACAATTCAATTTACAATTCAAATAATATTTATGAAATATTTAAACGATCTTTCCTTATATAAAGATATATATTTTCTTAACAAATATAGAGATTAAGATGATATTCAAATATTAACGTTAATGTAAATAGATAAGTCTTTTAAAAACAACTTGTGCAATTGAAATCAATTATAGTTTGTCAACTAATGATAGTATCATGAATGGGTTAACGATATTTAAAGAGATGCGCAAAGCGATTGAGCATTCTACTGAATCTTAAGCTTGGAACTAATCCAAATTTTTAATTCTTTGCTTATTAACGTTGGTAATAATAGTTGTAACTAATCGATAATAAAAATGACAATACAATTAGTAATTAACAATAAAATAAATAAAAATAAATTAGTAAAATATTGAATCTAAAAAATTTGTGGAATATACTTTTTATCAGTAAATACAAGAATATTGTGTAAAGATTTTTATATTTAGAAATAATATATTTCGTGTTATTCTTTTATTCCACAAACATTCCTTGTAAAATAATGGTAGATAAAGATAGTTAATATTTAATTGCACTTCTGGAATCCCACGTCCTTCCTTTGATACATACATATGATGTAACGTACGTAAGCTTTGAATGTTTGATGGTAATTAAATGGAGTTATAAAAAATCTTGTAACGGTATGTTAGCAAAGTAAGAGTTGATCGATAATTATCCGTAGAGAAGAACAAATTTGATTAATCGTTTTTTTATTTTGTAATTTTCCTCATTGAAGAAAAAGATATTTTTGTTATTGTGAATTTGAAAAAATTTAAAAAAATTTAATATATATTTTTAGTATTTATATATTTAATCAATTATTAATTATGCCAATGAACAAATTATTCTTCACGATGTCATGAGAAATTTTATCAATATTTAATATCAGTGATACAATAAAAAAGAATATTTATTAATTCAATCAACATTTATTTGTTTTAACGCGACTTATTTTTAATCTGTTTTAATTGCTTTTTATATTTTCCAAAATTAATAATATTTTATTTCTGTTAATGAATCTTAAAGTTGTTTCTTCGAATCTTTACTCACTGTGACGACTATAATCATTTATTCTTTGTACTCGTCACTTACCTGAAACAAAAACAATAGAATATCATATATTATTTTTAAATCAAATATAATTATAAAGAATCATTAATAATATCATAATTAAATAAAATAATAACAATAAGTGTATAACATTTAATAAAGAATAATTTATTACTTAATTAAAAATATTTAAATAATAATTTCTCGTAATAAAATAAACAAAATATTTAAAAGTAATATATACATAATATCTAATATATACAATATACATGGATATTCACCTATATTTCAAAAAGATATACGCAACAATTATCGACGATTAGATAGCTATCTAACGATTAGATATAATAGTGAAAAATTGAACGATTTCATAATTCAAATGCGTCATACATTAGAAGTTTACAATAATATTTCCAGCGTATTATCTATAACAATCTATAACTAGTTATTATATCTGTAGTATGTAAAGGAAAAATAAAAATTGACATGAAAAATAAAAGAATTGATAAATTAAATTTTCTTGAATATCTTACTTATAAAGTTTTAGATTTCTTGTTAATCGTCCATTAATACATCAAAAAATGAATTCATATATTCATTTTTATTTTATTATAAGGATTAAAAATATTAACCTTCGCATATTAGATTTAAAATCTAATTAAAATTCATTACATATTAATTTCTTATTTTAAAAAATGGACAAAATGATAAAAATAAAAGAGGAATATACCTATTCTCCGTTCATTTGTATTCATGATTATCTATACGGCACAATTGATCCACAAAAATATAATTAGCATTTGCAAATCAATGTGAAACCATCTGATTCGATTCTTTTTATTATCATGCAATTATTAGATTCAAAAAATGTTCAACTTATTACTCGCTTCTCGGCAGGTATTAAGGATAAGCTTTCACATTTCACTGAAAGTGGAATAACAGCGATATGGTTATCACCAATTAATCGAAGTCCTATGAGAGATTTTGGATACGACATATCTGACTTTGAAGATGTAGATCCAATATTCGGCACTATAGAAGATCTCAAAAATCTCACTGCAGAAGCGAAAAAACGGAATTTAAAGGTAACATGGAAGCATAATTTTTTTATTGATTTCGACTTATATATTTTGTCGTATGAAATCATATTCCATTATATTATGCCATCATATTAGCAGATACAAAATCTTCAGCAGTTTCTAATTTTGGGAAGATTTTGATTCAAAATAAAATCGATAAATTTAAATCAAGGATATTAATGTTATACTTGTAATAGAAAAATATATATAGGATAAAATAAATAAGTACAAATAATTCTTAAAACTTAAAATTGAATATATATTGAATCATATTTAGAATTATGTATTTTTAAATATACCTACTCTATTCAGTCAGAATGAATTAACGAAAAAATGATGACGTTACAAAAAAGAGAAAAGTACTTGAGAAAATATATTTATTGAAAACATTATAAGAAAATCTTAAAAATATATATATGTCTCAACAATAATACTATATACATATATATCGAATAAATTTTAAATAAATTTCAAATATGCATTTCGATAAATAATTCGATCATTTCTGTAATCACATGAAAATAAAATTATGGAATGTTTTATGTATGACGATACACAATATGACGTGAATAACATGACGTAATTGTAATTTGATTCCAACAAATTTAAAGCAATGAAAATATATCGGCTCATATTCTATAAATTACACGAAAAATCACGTAATATAGCATTAACTTTTTTGTGACGTGATATTAATGCGTTTTTTAATTTTTCTAATCTTAATTGTATGATATGATTGTATCATGTTAAAAAAATCGTACAATAATATATAAATAGAATTCTCTTTCCTAAGAGATTTTACGTTAAAGATTATAATTTTTCATTTTCATACGTGATATCTGAATTGTCGATAATATGTGAATTGTCAATAAGTACTTTTCCAATATCGATGAGATAAACATTAAATATAATAATACACGGTATTAACGGTAATAACATTAGAAAGGAAATCACTTTAAAGATTTTAGTGTATCACTTATTGATAACACTATTGAACAATTTCAATTAAATAATAATTTAGATCATAAACTTCCTTGGAAAATTATTTTTCTAGCTTAAGTTTGAAAACAATTCTATCGAATTCCACATTTAATAAATATTTCATGGAAATGCAATTATTTCTTTGAAAGAGTGGATATCAAGATATCTTTGTTATTATCTGCTGAAAAATTAATCAATATATTAAAAAAAATTCATAGATTTTTATTTGATACAATAAAGTGTCAAAGTTTGGTTTCACATTCTGAATTGAAGACACTTATAGTTAATCATTCAATTATTAGAAGCTCAACAAAGTTTGAAAATCTATATCTTCTCTAAATGAATAACAAAAACTGACAGTTTTCTTTCTACATTTTCAGGTTATTCTAGATCTCGTCCCTAATCATACTTCTCAAGAGCATTATTGGTTCCAACAGAGTATAAATCAGACTGGAAAATATACAGATTATTATATATGGGTTAACGCTACCAAAGATGAAAAAGGAAAACCAATTAAAAACAAGTATCCTAATAATTGGCTTAGTGTATTCAATGGTACAGGATGGACATTCCACGAGCGCAGAGAACAATTTTATTTCCATCAATTTTATAAGGAACAACCAGACTTGAACTACAGAAACCCGAATGTGAAAAAGGAAATGGAGGTATAGTTTTGATCAATTCTCCCGATATTGAAATTTTTTAATTCAAAAATTAATATAAAAGTTTCCTATCATTCGATTTGTTTATAAATAAATCTAATAAATTCTAGGATCGAAAGAAAAAAAAAACAATGAAAATATCTTATAATCGTATCGAATGTACATTATTGAAATACTATAAGTTTGATTAATCTGAGAAATTTTGTTGCAAGATTTTACTCGTATTCGCAAAGAATTTTTTCTTATTCTTTCATTTTATGCGAATCGTCTCCAATAAAAAATTTGTATGATCAATTCATTTCTTTTTCAGAATATAATGAAGTTTTGGTTGGATAATGGAATCGATGGATTCCGCATAGATGCTATACCACATATATACGAAGTCGCTGACATATCGTTAAATGAAACTCTTCTTAGTCCAGGTCTCAACTCATCTCTCCACGCTTCTTTAAATCACAATTTAACGAAAGATCAACCCGAGACTTACGAATTGATATCTGAATGGCGAAAATTCGTGGACACGTATGCGGAACAAAATAAGCGGGATGAGATAGTAAGAGAGAAGAAAAATATATTTGCGAATAACTTATTGTAAAGATACATTCTGTTAGAATGTTTTTAAATTTTCTCATTTCTTTCGAGATCGACAAGATATGTCAAACTTTTATTTAAATATCGATTAATAATTTTATCAATGCTAAATAAATAAGCTCAATGTTGTTTTAACATTTAAATTTAAGAAAATTGAATATTAATCTTTCTTCCATATATTGTTTAATAATAATAATTCCATATATTAATTTTATTTAATTTGATCATATATTAGTATTATATTATTAAAAAAATTATTACATTAAAAAAGAAAAATTCTTTACTTGGTTGTTTCATCGGCATTGAAGTTTACACGATGATTGATCTTACGAACAGGATGTAAAAAGTATAGAAAATATTCAATTATACTATTATACGCATATTAATAATATTTAGGATATTTTCTTAATTTTTAATCTTAAATTTAAATTTAGGTATGCATTGAACAGTATTATTTAATTACCACGATTTAACAAAATTTTGTTTTTACAGGTACTTTTGACAGAGGCATACACTTCTTTAAATAACACTCTCAAATATTACAATTACGGTTCGAACGTTCCTTTCAATTTTAAATTTATAACAGATGCAAATTCATCTTCCACGCCAGAACAATTTAAAGCAATTATAGACAATTGGGTAAAAGGAATATCCCAAAATGATGTTCCAAATTGGGTGGTACGTAAGTTTTTTCATAATTATTTAAATTTAATACGAGAAAAAAACAAACACATTTATATTTACATATTACATTTTCCTGATTGTGACTCATTTTTTAGCTAGTCACTTAATTGACAATAATGAAAATTAGATAAATTTATATCTATTCGTATCATCTAAATAAGATCACTTTTGATTCATCCAAAATGTAAATAATAATAATAATAATTAATTACAACAGATGGGAAACCACGATCGAGTTCGTGTCGGTACACGTTATCCTGGTAGGGCGGATCACATGATAATGTTGGAGATGATTTTGCCTGGAGTTGCGGTCACGTATTATGGAGAAGAAATCGGTATGGAGGATAACACTACGATATACAAATACGATGTTCGTGATGGTTGTCGTACACCATTCCAATGGGATTATTCCTCTAATGCAGGTATGAGGAATTGGATTGAAAAATCAGTTTCTGAATTTTTCTAAAACTTTTAATTAATCTTAAACAGGAAAAAAAATAAAAAAATTGGAAAAAATATTCTTTTCATTAATATTTTAATTAATAAAAAGATAAATACATTATAGTAGCAAAATTTTCAATTTTTTTATAACTATATAGCGATAAATAAATTTTGAAGTCATTCGATTCTCATATCAAGTTTTATTGATTTAAGGTTTTCTAGTTTTATTTGAAAGAGAAATTTTTGCAAAAAAAAAAAAATCATTCCCATTATTATTCTGATTGATTAATATTCTATCAATTTAATTGTCACATTTATTTTTTATTTCACATCTATACAGAATATAAAGAAATAAAATTATAATCTCTAATATTTAAGAATAAAACAATCTTATCTCGTTTGTAAGATTCTATAAAAGCATTGTTATTTACATGATAAACTCGATGTTTATAGGTTTTAGTAAAGCCAATGAAAGTCTGGTTGAAAAGGCGTGGCTGCCTGCTCATACATCGTACAAAAAGGGACTGAATTTGGAGCAAGAGAAAAAAGATAAAGTTTCTCATTACTATCTTTATACCAACTTGACTGCTTTAAGAAAGAGACAAGTGTTAAAAGAAGGAGACCTTACTACACAAATTTTAAACAAAAATGTCCTGGCTGTCGTGCGACAAAACGAAGAAGAAGCGGTTTCTCTTTTGATCAACTTCTCTAAAAATAATACTATCGTGGATGTATCAAAATTGGTGAACAAAGGAGATAGTAGAATTTATACAAGCAGCGTAAATTCCAATGTGACAGCAAAGTAAGCAATCAATATTGCAAATTGGCAAATTTCGATTAGAACATATGTTTTAAATCGAATTGGAATCATATAAATACGTGGATTTATAAGAACAGTAATAGGAGAAAATTTTCTATAATACAATAATGACTAAAATAGACTTTTCTTAATTTATAGGTATCTTCAAATCAATACGATTTATTAATCCTATCAATCTTTTATCAATTTTATTATTAATGGACAATTAACGATATAAATTTAATTTCATTTTTGATATTTAGTCCTAAAATATTTTTAAAAATGATATAATTTAAATAAGTCGATTTATTTTTAAATTCTTAATCTTTTAGTGATCCCAAACTTATTCGGATCTATTTATTTACGATACGATAATATAATAATTTTATTATTTTTCAGTGAATCTGTAAAATTGTCGGCCATCAATATTCCTGGAAATGCAGCTATAATTGTGACATCCGGCGCTGCCATAGTCAATTATTCAATCATGACTTTCCTATTCGTAGTGTTCATATCTCTTTTCCAACGGTAAAAAGAAAATATATTGCTTAAAGAATTTAATGTAAAAAAAAAATTAGAATATCATAAAACTAATTTTAACTAATTATTAATTAATAAAATTCATCTTAATATCAGGCTGAGTATGTATCCTAAATAAAATATTTATATTTATACATTTATATTATATATTTATATAATATATATTGAATTATTGTACGTATTCAATGTGTTCATCAAACATATTGTAATTGAATTATGTATATAAAATCATGATTACGATTAGAATTACGATTGAATTTTTATACTCAATCATAATTTTTTTTTATTATTGATACAGATTTAGTATCAATATATTTCTTCATTATTCTCATAACTGAAAGTTGAAATTGCAAAATAAAAAATTCTAATCTACTCTTGATATTCGACAGAATGATTTTTAAATTCTTTTAAATATTAAAATCTAAACAAATCAAGTGAATATTATAATTTTTCCTAGGCTAAAAAGACTTGAATCACAATAATATATAATATTTTTTTTTTGTAGGAGAAACCACTAATTTTTACACAAAATTAGTGTAAAGCATGAAATTTAACTGCAATATCATTCACCAAATTTTATGAGGATTTCCTATTATGACAGTTAATCCGCATCATGATCTTTCCTAAATGTGAAAGATGAAAAAGTATTGGATTATTATTTTTTTTTTTTTTTTTTTGTATATACGTCCACTAAAAGTGTGTCATATGTATGCAGAAATTGGATTTTGTTGCATTTTTTACAATTATTTTTTATATTTGGAAAATCAACATCCACCAATTAATATCAAGAATAACGCGATTTGATATAAATTAGACTTATAGCCAAATCGTCAAGTTGCATTGGCTTAATATAGCATTATCAATAATAATTATAAAGTAACAAAAGTAATGAAGGAAGAAAAAAAGAGATGATAGTATCGTACAATTTATTATTTGTATAAAATTTGATCTCTCATTAACAGATCACTTATAATAGTAATGATGAATTGATTTTTCGAGAAAATTAATTTCAAATAATTCAAATGTATTTTATTCATCCACGCCATCGTTCAACCATTTTTTTCCATTTCTAAATGAATTTACCACTCGCTTGTATGTCAAATTTTGAACGAAGGATTTATTTATCATTGATCCTCAGAGAGGAATTTCAGATTTTGAACGAACCTGGAACGAGATATGATCCACGCATTATCCTATAAATGGATTTCGAATAATACATAATATCGCGGCTGTGTGATATATTATTAAACACCTGTTGCGCATCATTTTCAACAATGGTTCCATGGAATAAAGATTATCTAAAAAGAAAACCGAGTTTTACGATCGACAAAAAATAACGACTATCGCCATAGAACGATCGGTTATCGATCTCCCTGTGTCTTCCTCTGATTCGATTTCCACGGCAATCTGTCCACGCTCAACGTCACCACGCCCTCGGCCGGTTTCACGCAGAAATTTATGTCTCCGGATTCGCACCTGGTGAGACAGAATGCTCGATGAACGAACGAAGAGGGAAACGCGACAGAAGGAATTACGATCGTTACCATTCCGTCCTTGGAATTCGGCCAGCCGACCAACCATGAAATTCTCAAGTTGAACCTGATGTTCCATTCCCTCGAAAGTTTCATCAATTCTCAAACTCGTTTCGTACTTCTCTAAGGTATTATTAAGGTGTTGGTGGATATATGAGAATATATCGTTTTCTTCGATTTTCAAAGATCAATCTTCAAAGATTTTTCTATGACACTGAGGTTGAGTGTATATGAAATTTTCTTGATTTTCATGAAAAAAAAAAAAGACACCAAACATTTTTTAAATCTACAAATCTAGAAAAACTGAGAGAACGTAAAATAATATTTATGATGAAACAATTAAAATAAATTAGCACGGATTTCTATCTCAATCAACTTTAACATCTAAATATCTTTTTAAAATTACATTAGTTATCATTAAACATATACGTATGAAAAATAATTTAGAATATATACGTGTGAATATATACAAATTATAAAGAATAAATTTATATTAAATGTATAAAGAACAAAAACTACTTATAATTTTTCTATATGCATATACTATATATTTAATTTCTTTGATATCTCTCTACTCTATTAGTACTCTATTAGTAAATTTCAACTATACTACTTTTATCATAATCGTGACAAAATATTATCTTACCTTTACGCAGAATGGTTTTCATAATAAAAGAAAAATTAGCTCCATTCGTAACGAGTGGAGCTGGAAAATTTATCCACGAACAAGCGATTAACAACTCAATGATTATATTCTCAAAGTATATTTATCCGTGGCTCGATTTACTCCTCTCTTGACAAGAACGGATGGCGAAATTAATCAATGAATTTAATTACGTTGACGCTAATTAATACCCCGTAAAACTCTTCCGTGGGTTCCAGAAACTGTTCGTAGTCTTCAGAGAGTACGGTAATTATGACCGTGTGTAATTAAACAATAACGCAACAAATAGCCAAAGAAAAGTTGGGAAAATTTACTTCGTGGCAAATTTAAAAATTCGAATAATTTCATCATTTTCTCATGGAGGAATCATAAAATGATATTTATATGCTGTGTTGATATGTGATGAATTAAAAAAAAAAGTATTAATTTATACCACTTTTATGTAGAGTAAAGATTCTCAAATGATATCAATAATGTTTTTGAAATTTGAAGAAAATTAAGTTTGAAAGCTCCAATGATTTGGTTATTACTTTTTTTTTGGAGGAATTACGAAATGGTATTAATCATTAATGAAATATTAATTTATGTTAATTAAATAATAATATTGAAAGGAGGAGATCTATTTTATGAAGACGTTATAAATTGATACAAAGTAAAATGACTCTTGACAAAGTTCGGATAAAAGCTTAATTAAAATTTGGATAATGAGACATTATATAAAATTTCATTTATATAAGTTCCACTGTAAGCACAAGTTATGATTTGAAAATACAATCGTTGAAAATAATTTGAATAATAATAAAAGCACAAGTAAAAAATTAAAACTATTTTGCATAATTGATTCAATGAAGCAAAATTAAAATAATAAGTTGTTTATTTATTATGTTTATTTATTATGTGTAATTTACGTGTTAATTTATACGTTATTAATTGTCAATCAATGCAATTCTTCTACTGATAAATGTGAAATTTTATAAGAATCGAGGACATGTCACGTGTGTGATACAATTATTCCTTTTTTCTTATGGATAATAACACGTTGTTACCGTTTCGGTTTTATATTAACAAGAGCTTGAGGGCACAGAATATGAAATCATCGACACGGATTAACCAGTTTTTACGATTTTTACTTTTTACAAGCTACAAAAGAATAAGATTACTTAATACAAGTTGATATTTAGAAAACGAATCTCTTATTTGGATCATATAATACAGATTCTCGTTGAATTCGCAATATTATTATTGCAATATAATTTTTTAATGTTAAATACTAATTATTTTCAATTGATTAATTTGAATTTGATATTTCTTTATAATTAATGAGAATATGATATAACGTATACTGAATGAATTAATGAGAAGTAATATCTAAAATATCGTTTCTTATTAATCGTATTAAAAAATAAATGAATTGTATTCAGATTTTATGCGATTTTAAAGATTAAAATCAATGCAAGATCATCACTTGTCGGTTTCTTTTTATTCATCATTCTATCAACAACAATGAGATACTATATATATTGAAAAAAGAAAGATTATTTTGATATCACAAAAAAAAGTAAGATATAAAATAATCAGATTACATCTATCTAATGCAATACTACATAATTATTATTTACAAAATATTTTCGATGTAATCTATAGAAAATAAAATTATGATTATTATTATTAATATAGATAAGTATTTTTATTGACTCATTTTACATATATATATATATATAATATTTATGTCGATAAAGCGTATTTAATTTTTTTTTTTTTAACTTATATAATCGTTATCATAATTGCGAGTTTCGCGCGAAAGAACTTGCAAATTTTATAAAATGCACACTTGTGAAATCGTTATGTAAAAAAAACAGAGACCAACATTTTTCGAACGAATTGCGACAATATAAAATTTCTTGCAGCCTCGCATATTGAAAAAGTACCGACGACTTATTTTGCATCGAAGTAATCCGCACATTTTCTGTTCATATTGAAAGAAGAAAATGAAAAAAAATATTACCTCGAATAAAGTTTATTTACAATGTTGCGAAAAGAATAATGAATATACTGTCAAACTTTCAAGAATATAAAATTTTGAGAAAATTTTTAGAAAGAAAACTTCAAGTTGCAGGAAATGAAAGTCTGCAAATAAATGAGATGGAGATGGATTATCATGATGAATAAAACATACGTATCTCAAAAGGAATAATAATTGTTGATCTCACAGATGGAAAAACGGTGTATTTTTTCTTGAAAATGGAATAAATATAGAAAATTTTACATGATTTATTTTTAAAAACTCTATTATTAATTTCTATGCTATTTTATAAATATATACGAAATGTATTTTGAAAGGGTTAAAAATTGAATGAATTTTCATTCATGAAAATATTTCAACAAAGGTAATTTGAACATACAACAATAGTTATTATTATTGATAATTTATTATTGAAAATTGATAAAGTTATTAATATCAAAATGCAATTTGAAAAGACATTCAAAATGAATGTAAAGATATTATCAAAGCTGCAAATTTCGACAAGAATAAAATAACAAAAAAAGGATAAGCACAATAAAATATAATTTTCTAAGATTTTATTGAAGAAGAGATCAAGATGGTATCAAAATAGAATTCAAGAAGAATGTTTGAAAGTACAACTACTTGAAAGAAAAATGAATAAGAAAGTAAAAGAAGAAAGGACAAAATATTTGAAAGCACAAGTACTTGAAACAAAAATGAGCAAGAAAGTAAAAGAAGAAAGGATGAAATGTGTCACTTTTTGTCCAACTAGTCTATATTCACTAGTGTGCTATTTTCGTGGTATGAATTATGCATTGACTT